AGGGAACAAAGGATGCTTGGTACAAAGGTACCCAGCAGAGGAGAGGGGTGGGGTGGGCTACAGCTCTGCTCACTTGTTCAGAGTGAGGACAGGTGGATGGGTTTGGTGATGACTGAGCCCTCAAAGGACAGGAGAGCCTTGGCTGGACTGTTGTTGGTGTTCAAAACTAATAACTAAGCTGGACATAGTCTACATTCCAACAATTGCAGGAGTTTTTAAGATTTACATAAATATTTAAGATTCATCCATAGAGGGAGGCTCCCAGCACCTCTTCCCTCCCCATAAAAAAAGGACAAAACTAGAGTGGGGTGGTGGTGGCACATGCCTTTAGTCCCAGCACTTGGAAGGCAGAGGCAGGTCATTCTCTGAGTTTGAGGCCAGCCTAGTCTACAGAGTGAGGTCTAGGACAGCCAGGGCTACACAGAGAAACTCTATCTGGAAAAAAAAAAAAGCCAGGCACACGGTGGTGCACCCCTTTAATCCTGCCATTCAGGGGACAGATCTCTGAATCCAAGGCCAGTCTGGTCTACATAGTGATTTCCAGGCCAGCCAAGACTACATAGTGAGACCCTATCTCCAAAACAAACTAAACAAAACAAAACTGAGTCCATGTCTCCGCAAGCTACCAGTGGGAGAAATAGAAATAGTCATCCAATTCATTTACGTTTCTCTAGAAGCATCACTACTAGCCACATCCACACTTTGGGGTTGCCAGCCCATCAACACTGCCTATGGGGTTAGTGCTTGTCGGTGTCTCTGTCTAGCAGGCAAGGAAACTGAGGCTCAAGCCATATTAAGCAACGTGTCTGAAGGTTTCCTTGGACGGAGATAGGCTTCCCACCTTGTTTCATTTGAGGCCACACTGTCGCCTTCTGCATCCATGGCCTTTCAAAGCTCTCCTGCTCAGGCATCAAGCACACCACCCCCAGCAGGAACACAACGCTCTTATGCTTAATGTGCCTTTAGGTTTTAGATTAGTTGGGGCTACTCTTTTTCTTTTAATTTTTAAAAATTACATTTGTTTACTTATCACGTGTGTGGTGTTTTTGTGGAGATCAGGGGACAGCGTGTGGGAGTCAGTTCTCTCCTTCCACCGTGTGGGTCCTGGGGATTGAACTCGGGTCCTCAGGCTTGGCAGCCAATGTCTTCACCTACTGAGCTATCTAAGTGGCCCCTTCACTGTTCTTTTAAGCCACTGGATCAGGGCCACTGTCTGACCTTGGAAGCTAGATCTACTCTTGTTCAGTCTACATCCTGGGGGTCCGCTGTCACCTTGCACCTTGCTGAGGCAGGGTCTCTCTTATTGTTTCTGTATACTCCAGGTTTGCTGGCCTGTGAGCTTCCGCCTGCTTTTCCTGTCTCCACTTCCCATCTACAGAGTGCTGGGATTGCAGATATGCACCCCCACATCTAGCTTTTTTCCTGGGACCTAAGGCAAGCACTGTTACTGGCTAAAGCATCTCCTTAAAGCCCCCTGAAAATGTTTTGACAGAGGCTAACATGGCAATCCTCTAGAGAGAGTGGCTGTGTAATTTTTGCCCCATCTTGCATTAATATGTAATATGTATGTGTGACCGTATTCTGTTTGGACAGTGCCATAATGGCTGTTGGTTTGGACGAGGTTGAGGTTCTGGGGTTCATCCACAGAGAACACGGGGAGAGATGAGCTCCCTGGCAGAGCCCTTTTGCTCTTCACACAGGAGAGGGCTGGTCTCAGCACAGGCATTGCTTCCCCAGACCGGAGTCCCAGGGTAGGAGTGGCTCTCCATCATAGTGCTTCACAGCATGGTGTGTCTGCTCGCCTCCCCTCATGGACCCTGCTCAGGGCACCAGCTAGACCTTGTTCTATTAATATTCCCAAGGTCTAATACAATGACTGACACATAGCGGGTACTCAATATGAGTGTGTTGAATGAAGGAAAGTTCTTCCTTTGCCTAAATCTGTTTAAGAACTGTGTCTAGCTGGCACATTGCCACACACTTACAGCCCCAGCACTTGGGAGGCTAAGGCAGGAGGATTGCTTCCAGTTTGAGGTCAGCTTGGGCTGCCTAGTGAGACTCTGTTTCAAAAAACAAAAAATAGCCGGGCGGTGGTGGCGCACGCCTTTAATCCCAGCACTCGGGAGGCAGAGCCAGGCAGATCTCTGTGAGTTTGAGGCCAGCCTGGGCTACCAAGTGAGTTCCAGGAAAGGCGCAAAGTTACACAGAGAAACCCTGTCTCGAAAAAAAAATAAATAAATAAATAACCCAGGTGCGATGTCTTATGCTTATAATCCTAGGCTGGGGAAGTAGAGGCGGGCAGATCCTAAATTCAAGGTCAGCCTCCATGAAATAGCAAGTTCAAAGCCAGCTTGAGCTATAAAATCTCATCTCAAAAAAAAAAAAAAAATGTGGGAGCAAGGGAGTATGTTTCCAGAAAATGCCTGTCCTAGACCCGCAAGGCTTCCAGCTCCTACAGTCAGCAATGGGGACAGTCTGCCCTGTACCCACTTCTTTCCTTGGGTTTCAGAGTGTTGACGCTAGTGATCCATTTGCTGACCTTGCTTAGCCAATCAGATTAAAATAATCACCACATCTGTTGAATGCTTGCCAAAATGCCAGCAATCTGTATGAATTATTTGGACTCCTTGTAGGAAATGTTACTATTCTTACAGACATGGAACCTGGGGCCCAAAGAGCCCTCAGTGATATGCCTGAAATCATACAGTATAGATATGAAGAAGGAAGGAAGAGAAGAAGGGAAGGGAAGGGGAGAAGGAGAGAGGAGGGAGGGAGGGATGCCTGTATGACTGTAGCTTCGCTGATTTTCTCTATTGTCCCCTAAGCACACTGGAGATTGTCAATGAGACTAATGAGCTCCTAGGACCCTGAACCGAGGCAGCAGGGAGAGGAAGGAGGTGGCCCTCATGGAGAGCATCCTGGAGCAACACCGAGTTACTCAGTAACCTCAGACACTTGATTCCCCAGGGACAACCTGCCTGGGCCGGGCCAGAGCAGGCAGGAGACACCAATTCCCCTTGGCCCCTTAAATGCTTGACTGGTCATGACTGGAAGCCAGAGATGGAAAGTCAGAGATTAGGCAGACCTCCATACTAGACAGAATGGAAACTGGTGGTATGGATGTTCCTCAGAGGCCTGCGGCTGAGAAAGCTGTGAGGGCTGGAGCCCATCACTTCACAGGGACAGAGGAGGGAGGACCAAGGGCCTGACATCAGCAGGCGATTGAAGAGACCCAGGACTGGGCCTCTCCTAATGCTTGATGGGTGATGGGTTGGAGAATCTTCCTAGGTAGCAGACTGGCAGGGGAGCCTTAGGGAAGGCCTTCAGGGTCTTGCTCTATTGGACTAGAAAGGATGCCAGCTGGTGTCTGTCACACATTGTTATACATCAAGGTCACATTTCACAAGCCAGTGCAAGTCTCATGTGCTGACCATATGCTGGCCCGGCTCTCCTGCCCTTCCAAGAAACTTCTAAAGCCCTCCCCTGATTTAGCAACTGAAGGGCTAACACCTGCTGGCCAGGGGCCTCCAGGACCAAAGCCTGTTATAGCCCTGAACCAGAGCCTCTGGTTTCAGCCCCAGGACCTAGCTCAGGGTAGACACTAAGTGAGTATTTATTGAATGAATGAATGAATGAATGAATGAATGAATGAATGAGGAAGAGAAAAGGAGGAAATCAGGTCCTGGAGGAGTATGAGATGAAGCGAGGCATCTGGAGAGAGAGGAGGCTAGCATCAGACCAGACCTCTCTTCCCTGTTCTCTAGTGCTGGAAGCTTGGAAGGTTGTTCCCTCCCGGGCCTGTGTAGGCAGGCTTGCTGGAGCAACCCCAGCAAGTGCTGATCCCAAGCAGGGCTCAGGAGGCACCCCTGGGACAGGAGGTGACTGTGGTGGGGGGTCCCATAGATGCTGAGCCATTGTCTAAAGGCTGTTTACCAGATGTCTCCCTGGATCCTGAAGGGACCTGAAAGCAACCTTTCTGCTGACTGAGGAATGATGGAAAGAAAGTCTGAATGGAGCCTACATGTACCAGCTGAGCGCTGTGCCACAGAGGCCGACCCCTGGTCTTTCATGTGCCTGGCTGGACCCCTGACAGGAAACGGGACAACAAGTCCACACAAGGGCGGGACAGAGGCTCAAGTCCCTGATGAGACAGTGGAGGAACTGGACAAGGAGCAGTGGAGAATGAGCAGGAGGTCAGCCAGGCATCCTTCTACCCCTGCCCGTTTCTAAGAAAGGACAAGGCCCCCGTGGACTGCATACAGGTGCCAGCACCAACAGGCTGGTGTTCCTACCTGCTAGGGTCCTTCAGGGACTCGGCCGCCAGTAGACAGCAGCCCCTTCCATGACTCTGTGGGCAGCCCCTCCTTTCGGAGCCCCAAGCTCGGCTCAGCACTCAGGTGGTAGACTAGGCAGGAGCTTCTGAGAGGGGCCCTCTGGGTTACCTCTACAGGCAGGCAAAGGCAGTTCTCAGAAGGGTCTGATTCCTTTCTGTTAGCCGGGACCCCAGTGGACAGCTCAGTGGGAAGGGACTCCTTCCCAGATGTCCATCCCCCCCCAGGGAATGCCTATTGGGGTGGGACAGCAAGAGACCCCCTGCTGAGGCTCAGGTGGCTGGTTAGTCCTCCAAGCCTGGGGAGCTCTACCTCCCTCCATCCTCCGGCTGTGCTGTTCAGTCGGGGAAAGGTCAACTGGCTCTTACTTTTTCCATCTCTCGTCCTAACTTTGGAGGAACCAGGTAGGACTTTGGAGGGACGCTAGGATCTTGGATGCCACTCTCTAACGGTGGGTGTGAGGAGGCGAGACCCCTTTCTCCTGCCACCACCCTTCTGGCAGCTGGGGCCCCGTTGTGGAAGCTCACACAATCGCGTGTGCCTCAGCAGGACCATGGGAAACAGGACCTGACCTGCGGGGCTAGTCCTTGCCAGCCTCAAACTGAGAGGTGGGGCTCCCCCAGGAGCAGCACGGCCTCCGGGGGCGGGGGGCGGGCGGGGCCTCACCTCTGCCGCTGCAGGAGCAGGCTAGGCCGGCACAGCCCTGTTGGAGCCCGGGACAGCACAACCACGTCCATGGCTCGCACTCCTCGCCGCCACCGGCGCCTGGTCCTGCCGCTGCTGTGCCTGCTCTCCCAGGGCGCCACCGCCCTCCTCTTTGCGATCTTTGTCCGCTACAACCACGAAACAGACGCTGCCCTGTGGCATTGGGGCAACAACAGTAACGTGGACAACGAGTTTTACTTTCGCTACCCAAGTGAGTGAGGGTGAGGGCGCGGGAAGCAGAGACGCCAACTCCCCCCCAACCCCTACCCCGGCCCCGGTGTGTTGGGAAGGGCACTTGAATGAGGTGGGGACTCCTCCCACCGAGGTGACAGGTAAGGCTTTCAAACAGCACCCTTTCTCTAGCGTCCGTCTTGTTCCAGGCACTGCTGGGGATGGTCCGTGCACTATCTCAGGCTGAGGAAAGGTGAGGCTCGGCAGGGTCACACAGTGTTAACCAGTGTCTTGTCTCACCTTCCACTGGGGCTAATTTGGCTTTGTCCAGGAGTCCAGCTTGACCACAGGAAAGAGACTCCCGCTGGGATTGACAGGTAGGGCGCTAGAGGAGATAATGGAGAGAGAGGTGTGAAACTCCCACACACACGTTCGGACATCTAAGGTTGGTGTAGGCCGGAGGGTCAGAGTGAGACAACACTGGACCAGCTCTCCAGATCCAAGGCCAGCATGAAGCGCGTTAGGGGGATGCTGGGCAGGGCATTATGTCATCTCACAGTCTAAGGGGGCTGTGGTGTGCCTGTTATCACCCACCATGGGTCCAATAGTGAGGATGGGGCTTAGCCATCATAAACTCCTCGACCAATGGCCATTTGCCTCCTGACAAGGTTCCGGATGGGGAGTTAACCCCCAGATGGAGACAGGGCATCTCCCTCAAGTTTGTAACTGAGGCTCTGGGTATCTGGAACCAAGCATACTATCCTCCCACTAGTGCCCAAGTCAACCTTCTTTAATCCCAGTTAGACAGGGCAACAGGAAGAAGCTGGGTGTGGTGGCTCTGCTTATAATCTCAGCACTCAGATGTGGAGGCAGGAGGATCTGGAGTTCAGGGCTAGCCTTGGCTACACAGTGAGTTTGAGACCAGCCTGGGCTGCACAAAATCCTGTCTCAACAAAACAAAAAGGAACCCCAGGCAGGTTCCTATATGCTTTTTTTTTTTTTTTTTTTTTTTTTGGTTTTTCGAGACAGGGTTTCTCTGTGTAGCTTTGCGCCTGTCCTGGAACTCACTTGGTAGCCCAGGCTGGCCTCGAACTCACAGAGATCCGCCTGGCTCTGCCTCCCGAGTGCTGGGATTAAAGGCGTGCGCCACCACCGCCCGGCTCCTATATGCTTTTAATCCCAGCACTCGAGAGTTAGAAGCAGGTGGATATCTGAGTTCAGGGCTAGCCTAGTCTACAGAGTGAGTTCCAGGATGGCTAGGACTAAACAGAGAAACCCTGCCTGGAAAAAAACAAAACAAACAAACAAAAAAGGAAAAAGAAAAATGTCTCAGTTTGAAGGACATTCAAATAAGACCCTTATGGGGGTATGAGAGGCCCCCCATAAAGCAACAAGACTACTACCACCCACTTTCTACATAAAAGGTGAGGTGGCAGGCTGTCCCCACCTCCCCCTGTCCTGGCTCTAGCTCTGGGGACATAGAGGGTTGAGGGAGACTTTGGACTGTGGCAGGAAACACCAGACCCCTAACCAACTTTTCCACAGTTCATTCCCAGCTGTGGCAGGGAATTAGCAATCAGGCCTCGGAGCTGGGATCAAAACCAAAGCCCTAAAACTGGCCATAGACTGTTGGCCTTAACTGTCAGTAAAGACTGGAAGCTGAGGGGAAATGGGCCAGAGAAGTGAGGGAGGCAAGCTTTGGTTCCCAGTCTAAGCTGGCCAGAAACAGCTTCAGTTAGGGCCTCCAACCCTACCTACCTGTTTGTTCCAAAGCCCTGCACAAATCCTGCCTCTTTTTTTTTTTTTTTTTTTTTTTTTTTTTGGTTTTTCGAGACAGGGTCTCTCTGTGTAGCTTTGCGCCTTTCCTGGAACTCACTTGGTAGCCCAGGCTGGCCTCGAACTCACAGAGATCCGCCTGGCTCTGCCTCCCGAGTGCTGGGATTAAAGGCGTGCGCCACCACCGCCCGGCAATCCTGCCTCTTAACAGCTGCAGTAGTGCTGGGCTCTCCACCCCAAGAGAGCAGCAAGAAGGACCAAGGTAGAGTCCCCGCCTGTCTGCCCTGGGGTCAATTTCTGTGGACTTTGACCCTGCTATTTGGGGAAAGCTAGGCAGGAGGGAGATGTGAGGTTCCTAAAGCCTGGGCTTTGATGAGCCGGGGCCTCACCTGTCCTGTGTCCAGAGGAAGGGGTCAAGGCCAGAGGGCGGGGAGAAACCACCCTTTGATTCAGAAGATGAAAGGATTCTGTGGTGAAGGCTGCAGGTCCAGGCTGCAGGCAAACACACTCTAAGAGGCTGTCTGTAGATGGCAGCTCTCTCCCCCAGACAGGACGGGATGGGCCCTCAGATTCTATGGTCTACTTCTCTCAGATCAGATGTGGGCAGAGAGCCAGGAAGGTCACTCACCTACCCAAGATCACGACAAGTTCCAAAGAGTGAGGCTGGGACGTGGTCTCTTGATTCCCCATCTAGAAGCTGCTGCCACACTCACATCACCCGGCTTACCTTATCTTTTAGGTAGGGCCTAACAATGTAGCCCAGGCTAGTCTCAGACTTACCACCTTCCTGCCTCCGTTTCCCAAGGACTGAGGAATGCAGGTGTGAACAGCTGTGCCCTGCCTACAAAGCGCTTATTCTACAAAGCAAGTGATCTGGAGTAAAAGAGGAAAGAGCCACAGAGCAGCCCAGTGAGAGGGGGGGTTCTGAAAAACTAAGGAAGTCCTCCTTCAGATGGGGGGTGGGGCTGACTCACAGTGGGAACTTGTCCTAGACAGAATCAGCACCATTTTAGGGGGGACGGATGGAGGTTGGGACTGTGGCCTGCTCTGGGAGGCTTCAGCCTCTGTTTGGAAGCCGGGGAGGAAGAGGCTCAGAGATGGCAGCGCCCACTCTCCTCCTCCTCCTCATTCTTTATATCTGCCTTTTCCAGAGGAGGCACCTGAGGCTTAGAGAGGCCTCGGGTCATGTGTCCAAGGTCACAGGGTTGGCTGCATTGGATGCTGAAACGGCGGCCCTAACCATGGCCTTGCCCTGTTAGGGGGAAGCTGGGGAGGGAAGGCTGGCAGTGTGGCCCCAGAGGACTGTATTTGTTATGTTCTGTACCTTTTTTTTTTTTTTGAGACAGGGCAGTCATATAGCTCAGGTTGGTCTCAAACTCATTATGTAGTCAGGTCTGGCCTTGATCTCCTCACCTTCCTGCCTCCACCCCTTGCGTGGTGGAGTTACAAGTGTGTGCCACCATGCCTGGCTGGGGTTGAGTTTTCAGTGCAAACAGTGGCATTTAAAACAAGCTCAGAGCGGTTGGGAGAAGCTCCTGCATGAATGGTCTTTGAAGCGTGCCACCCAGCCCCCTGTGGTTTCTTGCTGTCCTTGGACAAGAACAGAAAGAATTCCTCTTCCATGTTTGAACAAGGCAAAAGGGCAGTCAGAGAAGTCTGAAAGACTTTAGGCTAGCTGAGTGTGGTGGCGCACGCCTTTAATCCCAGCACTTGGGAGGCAGAGGCAGGTGGAGCTCTGTGAGTTCGAGGCCAGCCTGGTCTACAGAGTGAGTTCCAGAATAGCCAGGGCTACATAGTGAGACTCTGTCTTGGGAAAAAAAAAAAAAAAAAGACTGTAGCTCCTGCTGAGTTCCAAGTGTGTCTCTCCTTTCTGATGTATGTATGATCTGGGTGACCCTGAGGAGGCAATATTGGAGGTGGTGGTGCATTGGGGGTGGAGACCAGAGGCCTCTTGGCCGATACTTCCTGAGCTCCACGGCTCCAGACCCCCACTGCAGGAAAGAGCAAGGCGCTGCTGGAATCTGTTTCAGCTCACACCTGCAGACAGCTCTGAAGCGGCACAAGCTTTAGCTTCTCTCAGGGCTCCTGTTTGCACCCCAAAGTTCAGTAGCAGCCTTCAGCTTGCTGTGCCTCTTGAGATCAAACAACACGGAGCACGGGCTTGAGAATCTGCTTCTTCCTATGAGAAATTCAAGGTCATCCATGATAAAAATGTACACAAGTTGAATAGCATTATGAGAATCCTTGGAGCCAGAAGTGTTTTGGTTGGGGGAGTGTTTACATATACATAATGAAATATCTTGAGGATGGAACTCAAGTCTAGACAAGCAATCCACAGATGTCCCACATACACCCTATACAAATAGTCTGAAGGTGCTTTCGTGCAGTGTGTTTAGTGAGCCTGCGTTTTGAGTAAAGCCCATTGGATGAGGCCCTGTGTGGGTGTGGAATATTCCACTATGGCATCACACTGACGTTTGAAGACTTCTTGACTCTGGAGCATTTGGGGTTACCAGTTTGGATCGTGAACTCGCATAAGGAAAAACAAGCGGAAAATGAAGCGCACATCTGAAGTGAGAATCGTGACAGCATAGACGTGTGACAGCGTAGACGCGTGACAGCGGTACTATGGCTCCCAGCTCCCACGTGGCCAAGGAAACAGGTCACTGTGAAGGAGGCTGCATTCTCGCCAGAGCCAGCAGCCTCCCCTGTGCGGGCTCTGATTCTCCAGTCTGACTCCACCCTGGAAAGCAGGAACTGACTTCCTGGTGGCCGCCGTACTCTGGAGCCCCATCCGCAGATGCTCAGCACATCTACTGCTTGCCAATGGGAAACAGACATCCTGAGGGAAGTGACATTTCTCAGCCCGAGAGCAGTTTCTCATGTGGAGTATGAAAGGAGGAGGACTTAGTGTAATGTTCCTTGTCTCCAGACATTTCCAGAAAAGGAACTCCCACAGGCTTTCTACTGGTGGGTTTTGTATTTGCTTGTTCATGATTATTTATTTACTTATTTATTTAGAGACAGCCTCATTATGTAGCCATGGCTGTCCTGAAACTAACTATGTAGACCAGGCTGGACTTGAACTCAGAGAGATCAGCAGGCCTCTGCCTCCCAAGTGCTAGGATTAAAGGTATGTGCCACCATACCTGGCCTTGGTCATGATTTTTTGAGCCGGGCTCTTCCTCCCTAGGCTGACCTTGAACTTGGGGCAAACCTCCTTCAGCACATCTCAAGTGTCCATCATGCCCAACCACTCACCTTGTTTGTAGAAGGCTCTCTTGTTTCTGTGGTTGTGCTGCTGTTGCTGGCCAACTGGACCGAGCTTCTGGATGGTTCCACCTTCCATCTCACTGTAGGAGTGCCGGGATTATAGATGTGGCTACTATATCCAGCCTTTTACATGGGTTCTGGGCTCATCAGGCTTGCTTGTGTGGCTAATGCCTTTGCCTGCTATCCATCTCCCTTCTCCCTTAACGCTGGTTCTATAGCTAATTACTCAACAACTTATTTGTATAAATCTTATTTTCAGTATTACTATGTATTATGCAGACAGCAAAGAGAAAAGGCCCCACGTCTTCTTGTCCTGAAGCCCCACAATATGCTCAACGGTTCAAGGGAAACTGGTCATGTGTGGTCCCATGCTGTGAGCCCAGCACTTGGGCAGTTGAGGCAGGAAGTCCAGAGTCTGAGGTCAGTGGGACTACATGGTGTGACTCTGTGACCTCAACAGAGCAAGTGTGATGTAGAACATAAAAAATTCAACATATAGAAAGAAACAATCTGAAAGGCAGTCCCCACTCCTGAGGATGCCTGCATGACGCCCAGGTCCAGGGGCTGCCGTTGCACTGAGCTGTACACACAGCGGTCCACCCTCTCCCTTCAATTCCGTTGGGGGTGAGGTTAGTCCCTGTTAACAATTCAACGCCATTTCCTAAGTTGTTTTTAGTTTATTCTCAAGATAGGGAAGTATAGACTTTGAAAGATGAGAAACAGAAGTTAGACATCAAGAAGGGCTTCCTAGGTGATGGTGGCACATGCCTTTAATCTCAGGTTTAAAGTGCTGGTGGGTCTCTGTGAGTTCAAAGCCAGCCTGGGCTACAGAGTGAGTTCCAGGAAAGGCGCAAAGCTACACAGAGAAACACTGTCTCAGAAAAACCAAAAAAAAAAAACCAAAAAACAAAAAAGCCAAAAACAAAAACAAAAAAGAAAGAAAGAGGGGCTTCCTGTGGCTGGGGAGATGCTCAGTAGGTAAAGTGCTGCACAAGCATCTGGACCCGAGTTGAGATCCTCAGCACACAAGGGATTGCAGCGCTCATTCGTGACCCCAGCACTGAGGGCAGAGAGGGACAGACTCCAGGGCTTGCTGGCCATCTACTCCGTCATGTGGATGAGGTCCAGGGTCACTGAGGGACCCTATCTCAGTACAAGGCAGAGCACGGTGGAGGAAAACACATCTCCCTCTATACACACATGCACACGTGTGCGAGCGCACACACGGATACATAAGAACATGTATACATTGTACGAGGGAGAGAGGAGAGTGGAAAACACCCGTCATCTACCTCTGCCTTCTTACACACATGCACACATGTGCACGCACACCCACATACGTGAGACCATGTACACACTGCACACAGAGCAGGGGGGACTTTTCAGAAGAAGGAAGACAAATCTTGTGTGTACAGGAGACAGGGCTGCAGCAGCAGAGAGAACTGAGTTTCCTACTCAGGTGAGCAAATGGGTCAGGGAGAAGGTGAGCCAGTGCTACTGCAGGAGTTTGGTTCCTCCTTTGAGCAGGGACGGCAAGGTCGGCCTGGCCCTGCTGCTCCAGGTCGGATGCTTTGTGCCAGCTGCTGGGGCCGGGGCGGGGGGGGGGGGGGGGGGCTGCTAAGCCCGGGGATGTTTTTATTAACATTTTTTCCTTCATTTTACATAATGACCACAGTTTCCCCTCCATCCTCTCCTCCCGTTCCCCCCCAACTCTCATCTGCCCCCTCCCCACCCACCCACTCCTCCTCCATCTCCATTCAGAAAGGGCAGGCCTCTCTCTCATGGGCTTGAACAAAGCATGGCACATCAAGTTGAGTCAGGACTGAGCTCCTCCCCCTGTATAAAGGCTGAGCGAGGTCGTCCAGCATGGAGAACAGGTTCCCCAAAGCCAGCTAAGCACCAGGGACAGGTCCTAATCTCACTGCTAGGAGCCTTACACACACACCAAGCTACACAATGTCACACACATGCAGAGGGCCTAGGTCGGTCCCATGCAGGCCAAGCTACACAATGTCACACACATGCAGAGGGCCTAGGTCGGTCCCATGCGGAGTCCCTAACTGTTGGTCCAGAGTCCATGTGCTCCCACGAGCTCAGGTCAGCTGTCTCTGCGGATTCCTCTGTCATGACCTTGACCTACCCCCCCCCCCCCCCCAGTTTGTACAGTCCCTCCTCCCGTTCTTCAGGAGGACTCCCAGAGCTCGGCCTAGTGCTTGGCTGTGGATCTCTGCATCTGCCTCCATCAGTTACTGGATGAAGGCTCCGTGATGACAATCAGGGTAGTCACCAATCTGACTGTAGGAGAAGGCCAGTTCAGGCACCCGCTCCACTATTGCTAGGGGTTTTAGCTGGGGTCATCCTAGTGGATTCCTGGGAGTTCCCTGGCACCAGGTTTCTCCTGCCCCTAAACCATGTCCTGCACCCAGCCCATCCAACCTTCTCCCTCAAGTTCCCATCTCCCCATCCCCTCCCATCCCTTCCCCCATTTTACCCAGGAGATCTCTTCTATTTCCCCTTCCCAGGGAAATCCATGCATCCTTCTTTGGGCCCTTTTTGTTACCTAGCCTCTCTGGGGCTGTGGATTGTAGGTTGGTTATCCTGTACTTTACTTCTGATATCCACTTATGAGTGAGTACATACCATGTTTGTCTTTCTGGGTCTGGATTACCTCACTCAGAATTATTTTTTCTAGTCCTGTCCATTTGCCTGCAAATTTCATGGGGTCATTGTTTTTTACAGCTGAGTAGTACTCCATTGTGTAAATGTACCACATTTTCCTTATCCATTCTTTGGTTGAGGGGCATCTAGGTTGTTTCCATAAGCCCTGGAATTTTACTGTCACGGTGCTGCTCTAAGGCAGTCCTGATTGGAGGAGCCAGGCACTGGCGAGGCATCTGTTGGTTGGTGGGTGTGACCGGAGCAGACCTCATGACACTAACTCTCCTCCCACTTCCTTCCCCTCCCCTGCGCACCCACAGGCTTCCAGGATGTGCACGCCATGATCTTCGTCGGCTTTGGCTTCCTCATGGTTTTCCTGCAGCGGTACGGCTTCAGCAGCGTGGGGTTCACCTTCCTCGTGGCCGCCTTCACCCTCCAGTGGGCCACACTGGCCCAAGGCTTCCTCCACTCTTTCCACGATGGCCACATCCACGTTGGTGTGGAGAGGTGGGCGACAGTAAGCCCCTGGTTCCCTCGAAGGGTGCCTGCTCAAGCCCTGATCTTCAAGTCTACTAACTGACCCCTGCTTTGCCCCATAACCACCTTCTGTGGGCCACTGTCCCTTCTCTGTGTCTGACCTGTGTACCCCTACATTCACACACCCCTCCCATTAGACCTCTGTCATACGAGCTCCTGGGAGGACCGGCCAGTGAAGAATGGCTCCTCCTACTCCTGCTTCTTCAACCTAGAGTTGGCCCTCACTTCCCAGGGGCCCCTCCCTCCTCTCCAAGGGTGGTGGCACCTCTCTGATGCCCAGGGGGAGGTGCTCTAGTGCTCTCTCTCTTCACTCTGCCCTGCACGCCCCACGTGCCCCTCTGCCACTTTGGAACCACTGTGCTACCCATCCACTTCTCCCATCCCGTGTGACTGCAGCTTGATCAACGCTGACTTCTGTGCGGGCGCCGTGCTCATCTCCTTCGGGGCTGTCCTGGGCAAGACTGGGCCAGCCCAGCTGCTGCTAATGGCCCTGTTGGAGACAGTGCTGTTCAGTGTCAACGAGTTTATACTGCTCAGTCTCCTGGGGGTAAGTCTGGCCAGGAGCGGGTGAGACCCGGAAGAAGAGTGGGTGGGGGCAGGGGCTGCCTCAAGACCTCTGTCCCTCACGACCTCTGTCGTCCCCAGGTGAGAGATGCTGGAGGGTCCATGACCATTCACACATTTGGGGCCTACTTCGGGCTGTCCCTCTCACGGGTTCTCTACAGATCCCAGCTGGAGAAGAGCAGGCAACGCCAGAGCTCGGTCTACCATTCTGACCTCTTTGCCATGATTGGTGAGGCCTGCTGAGGTGATGTGGCGTGGGCTGCAGAGCACCCTGCCTGCGGAAGGTCTCCTGGCACTGCCAGCCATCCCTGGGGTCCTTCCTACTTGTTTTCTGAGGAGCCTGAAATCCATGTTTATCATCACCCCTAACTCAGTGCCGGGGTACACACAAGCCCACACCAGGCCCCCGGGGCTTTTCAAGTTTACCTCAGTCCTGCTTGAAAGCTTCCTGGGCTACGCAGTCCACATGTGTGGAGCCATAACCTTCATCCCACTGCCCAGTCCTCTTTCTTCTATGCCCCTGCCAGTCCAGGTCACCTGTGCTTGAGCTGACCTCCTCAGCCTAAGAACCCCACCTCCCCACAGCCCAAGAAGCCCTGCACTGCCAGGCAGGGAAGGAGGGGCCCTTGATCACCCCAGGGAGCAGTAGGGCCTGTTTCCTCCAGGTCCCCACCTCTGGTGGCTCTGGCCTCTATGTCCTCACAGCCTGCCATCTGGAGTCGGTGTTTCGTCTGGGGGGTTGAATATGGCCCTCAGTGCCTGCTCTTGCATAGCAGGGCTGACTTGGTTTGCTTGCCCACTTTAGGCACTGTGAAACAGCTGAGCCCTCCTTGCCTTTAGCAACCCTTCACATATGAGGTCTCCAGGTGAAGTGGGCAGGGAAGGGGAGGGAGGGGCCAGGTTGTCTGTGCCTTCTCTGCCCTGAAGCCTGAGAACTGGGCACAGGACACTGAGAAGGTCCTCATCTTGAGGCAGCGTTAGGACTTTGAGCCCAAGTGAAGGGTACAGGTTACACACACGGGCTCCTGCCTTGCTGGCCCACCCTGCAAAGTCCCTGCTCTTCCTTCCCCCTCTGAGATTAGTCTGTAAGACTTAAAGCAGGGCCGGGTGGTTGTGACACACGCCTTTGATCCCAGCACTCCAGAGGCAGAGGCAGGTGGATCTCTGAGTTCGAGGCTAGCTGGTCTACAGAGGGAGTTCCAGGATAGCCAGAGTTACATGGAGAAACCGTGTGTGTGTGTGTGTGTGTGTGTGTGTGTGTGTGTGTGTGTGTGTGTGTGTGTGTGTGTGTGTGTAAGTTCAGCTCCTTCTCTGGTTCTTAAGAGAGGGCATATGCTGGGTATGGAAGCCAGAGTGTGGCATGTGCTAAGCAAGTGCTGTTCCACTGAGCCTCACCCAGGCCCTTGCTGAGCAGCTAGGCCTAGTGGGCCATGAAGCAGGCATTTATACGCGTCATCCCCTCAACTCTCAGCATAGGAAGTTTTTTTCCTAACAATTCCAGGAATCAGTGAGGAAACAGGCTGCATACTAACTTACCAGCGGTGCAGCGCCCCCTGGTGACAGGGGCCACTCACTACTAGATGCTCACTGTTTAGGGACCATCTTCCTGTGGATTTTCTGGCCCAGCTTCAACTCTGCGCCCACGGAGCTGGGGGATGGGCAGCATCGGACAGCTCTCAACACATACTACTCACTCACGGCGAGCACCCTCAGCACCTTTGCCTTGTCAGCCCTTATCAGCGGGGATGGCCGACTGGACATGGTATGGGCAAGCAGACGGGCAGCCTGGCAAAGGGAAGAGATGGCTAAGGTCTCGGGGGCAAGCACTGAGCCTCCATCTCTAAGCAGGGGAGTGGGTTAGGTTGAGAGGGGCAGTATATGAAAGCTGGAGAGCCAGCGGCTAGATAACAGAGGGACTTTAGAAGCTGTAGATGCCACGGTAATGGGTGAGGCTGGAGTGTGTGTGTGTGTGTGTGTGTGTGTGTGTGTGTGTGTGTGTGTGTGTGTGTGTGTGATGATCTGAAAAGATACCTTGCCCTTTTTTGTCCCCTTAGGTCCACATCCAAAATGCAGCTTTGGCTGGAGGGGTTGTGGTGGGGACATCTAGCGAAATGATGCTGACACCCTTCGGGGCCATGGCAGCCGGCTTCCTGGCTGGGACTGTCTCCACGTTGGGGTACAAGTTCTTTACGGTATGGTTGCTTCTCAGGATCTGGAAAAAAAGCATGTGAGGGAAGGAGCCTGCAGCAGGGACCCGGGATTCCTAGTGGCTCTTCTGTCACTTCCCCACCGGGTCCTGGGGAAGGGTAGGTGGATCGCCCATGCCTGATTATCCAACTTGTCCTCCAGCCTGTCCTCGAATCCAAATTCAAAGTGCAAGACACATGTGGTGTCCACAACCTCCATGGGATGCCAGGGATACTGGGGGCCCTCCTGGGAGTCCTGGTGGCTTGGCTGGCTACCCACGAAGCTTATGGAGATGGGTGAGTCTGCTCTAACCTCTCTAGAATGACCAGACCTCCCTTCTTCTCTGAGAGCCAAGACAAAAAAAAAAAATCCCCATCTGTTCTCATACACCCATTTGGCCATTCTCCCACCGTATGGTGAGAGCTGAGGACCTGCCCAGGCCTGGCCTCCTGGTCAGTGCAGTGGGTGATCATGAAGAAAACCATTTCAAGAGCACTGAGCATTCCTTCAGGACCAGTAAGAGATAATGACCCCTGGGATCTATATTTCACACTGTGAGCTTGGGGTGGGCAGGCAAAAGGGACCTTGGACTGGGTTCTGAAAGGTACGTGGGGCTGGCCAGCTTAGGAAGGAAGCTAAAAGAGAGGCCTGCCTGGCTGAACAAAGGCCTGGGTCTGAGACAGTGGGGATCCCTGGACGCCCCTTGGCTGCCCACACATGAATGCCACAGTGACCAGCCCTGACTGCCTGTTCCATCCCTGTCTTTCCCTTTCTGGCCGCCTTTCAGCCTGCAGAGTGTATTTCCGCTCGTAGCCAACGGCCAGCGCAGCGCCACATCTCAGGCCGTATATCAGCTCTTTGGGATGTTTGTCACACTGGGGTTTGCCTCTGTGGGTGGCAGCCTTGGAGGTGAGTGGCTTTAGCTGGGCAGGGTGGTGGGTGAAAGCCCCAAGGACGGGTGCCCAGGAGGAAGAGCAAGGGATACTGTGTCCTTCGTGTGGTCTCATTTCCACCAAGATCCTTTCAGGACACCTGCCTGTGCTAGCGAAGGGTCAGCATGGCCTCCAGTGAGAGGGTGCTGGCGGGAGGCTGCTCCCTTGGTTATGGGGTCTGACTTTCCTGTGCTGCTCCCTTGTGCCACAAGAGGGCAGTCCAACCCCAGCTGCTGGGAAGGGGCCAGTTCAACCTCCTCCGAGCAGCTGCAGACAGAAGGAAGGAGGGCTAGCTCTCCCTGGACCAGAGCACAAAGCCTTCGGCAGAAGCTGTCTGCTCACTGGCCCTAGGTCAGGCAGTGCCTCCTGATATCTGGCTTTAAGAACAAAACCTGAGCCAGGTAGTGGTGGCGCACGCCTTTAACCCCAGCACTCAGGAGGCAGAGGCAGGTGCATCTCTGAGTTCGAGGCCAGCCTGATCTATAGAGTGAGTTCCAGAACAGCCAGAGCTACACAGAGAAACCTTGTCTTGAAAAACAAAACAAATTAACAAACAACAACAACAACAAAAATGAACAAACCCTGATGCAACATCCTTACCCTCCCACACATACCGCCATCCTGAAAATGTCATTCCCTATGGTCTAGTCCCCAGGTCATATTTCATGCAGTAAACATCCCCTGGGTCCCTCCCACGTGGGGAGCCACAAAAAGATCAGCAGCTATGCTTCATGATAGAATCACAATATGACTGCCAACATGAACACATTCCTTCATTTCTACCAGCTGGCTTCTATGTGGGTAATTCGGGGGGAAGCCACCTTGCAGGGCTATACCTTTTCAGAACGGTGGTACTCAGCAGTTCTTGGCATAGGCTTGGGTCTGCCTTGTCTCAAGCTTGTCTACCTGTGCTCCTAGGTGGCAACCTCCCCCTTGGGTAGGGACAGGGGAATCTTACATATCCTTCCCTATGGTAACCAGGGTTCCTGCTGAGGCTGCCCTTCCTGGATTCCCCTCCAGACTCCCAATGCTTCGAAGACCAGGTTTACTGGGAGGTGAGACACAGGTGTTAGGCCCCCTCTGGTCTTCTCTGATGCCTTGCCTGACCTCTGGGCTACCACTTGACTCTTTCCTTGTTTGTGGGCTCCTTCATTAAGTCCCCTGGAACTTCCTTCACCTCTCCCTGCCCTGCAGGTACCTGGAGAGCAGGAGGCTGAGGCCCAGAGGCCTCTGAGGGCCGAGGAGTCAGACACCCAGGCCTAATTGCTGCCAGCATGACACTGTCTTCAGAGGAGACGATGCCTCTCGACAGGCATGACACTGTCCTTGGAGAAGATGATAGTTTCTGCCAAGAGGTCCTTCTCAGCCCTTGTTACTGTTTGGAAGGAAGTCTAGAGCCAGAAGGGGCATGCCATCCCTACGCAGGTTCCCATTAGTTTGCACCTGTGGCCAGAATAGGCCAAAGCCAGCCCTAGGTGACTGCTACCCCCACCGGCCAGTATTACCCTGTCCCAGTGACACCTGAACAGGCCCACTCTGGGTGGGAAGCTGGGCGATAAACAACACCATCACCAAGGACTCGACACCTCCTGCTTGTGCCTCTTTCCTTTAACTCCCGAGGCCAAAATCTTGTGGCAGTCAAAGATCTCAGTGCTGCTGGGCGGTGGTGGCCCATGCCTTTAATCCCAGCACTTGGGAGCCAGAGCCAGGCGGATCTCTGTGAGTTTGAGGCCAGCCTGGTCGACAGAGCAAGATCCAGGACAAAGCTACACAGAGAAACCCTGTCAAAAAAAAAAAAAAAAGGCTGGAGAGATGGCTCAGAGGTTAAGGGCACTGGCTATTCTTCCAGAGGTCCTGAGTTCAATTCCCAGCAACCATGTGGTGGCTCCAGACCACCTATAATAAGATCTGGTGCCCTCTTCTGGTGGGCAGGAACACATGCAGACAGAACACTGTATACATAATAAATACACCTTTTTTAAAAAAAAAATCTCAGTTTCTGACAAAGCCTCCTCGGGTCCACAGAACTCTATCCAGGGTACCACATCCTACTGGATATATGTCCCAACTAGGTTCATCCTCTCCAGGGGGCCATTATTGTCCAGAAACTCTGTGCTTATTTTAGCCAGCTAATGCTACCCCCCAAATCCTTCGTGGTCCTTCCTTAACTGCTGCTGCCCTGGCCCTCAACGGGCTCCACTTCTGAGCAGAGTAGGAAAAGGCTCACAAGGGCATCAGAAGGAGTGGCCTGCCACAAAACCTCAGCAGCCAGAGGCAGCCCTTACCTGATGCCAGTTCACAGTCCTGTCCTGAGTCTGTGGAGCAGAGAACAGGGAAGGTCATGAGGCTCTGGGCTATGAATGAAGGCACCTGGGATCCTGGTGGCCTAAATCGTTTGACCACAAGAGGGCACTCTAAAACCAGAGGAAGATGCCACCTCCAGGTCTCACCTAGGTCCTTCTTGCAGCCTGACCTCCCGAGCTGCATCAGTGTTGGTCCTCAGACATCCATGCCACAGCCTTCCCTGAGGCCCACCCCTTCCACCTGTCAGATGATGCCAGAAACTCCATGTCTCACCCCACTCACAGAGACTTCATCCCTTCATCCAATGGGAGCCCACCAGGACCCCTCTTCATTCCCTCACAGGACCTGCCAGTGGGCTTCTGGCAAAAGTTGAGCACAACCACAGACACACCTACCTCCTAACTAAGGTCCTTCAGAGCCAGGAACCCAAAGAGGAAGTACATATCTTGGACCCCAGCCCTCCGAGAGAGAAGAGAGAGAAAGGCAAAGTTGCCCAGTGTGTTGTGTCCTGGGCTCTCTGGCTTCAGCTGGAGATTGTGGAGGGACTAGCTCTCCAGGGAACTCTCCTTTCTTCCCTCAGCACCCCTCTCCATAGTTCCCTGCCCATTGCTGGCTGAGGATCCCAGGATTGAAGCCGAAAGCTCTAAGTCATTGTGGAAAAGTAGCTGGGAGAACCTGGGCCCAGCTCCGGATGGGTGATGGACAGCCAGCTATCCTGCCCTGCCCCCAGTTGCTGCCCAGGCCTTCCTGGTAAGGGAAAGCTGTGAACATTCTCTTACTCACGGCTCCAAGATTTACATTCTGGCCCTCTCTGCTGCTGGTTCCTTCTGAACTGCAACCAAGCCTTTTCCTCGGGCCTGAAAATAAACGGGCTCTTCCAACACTGGGTGGGAGAAGCCATCTCAGTCCTGGAGAAGGGACATTTGAGCCCTTTTTCAGATAATGCAATTGCTCAGTCAGCTTCTAGTGGGTGAAAGGCTGCCGGTCCCAGGATGGCCCTGACAAAAGGTCACTGATAAGAGAGACAAGGTGAGGATGCTCATGAGCCACGCCCTGTATGTCCTGTCACCAGTGAGTTCTAAGTTTCCTCGATGTCACAAAACCCCCATGTGCACCAGGACACAAACTCTACCACCAGCCCTGGCACCCTGGTCCTACTGTTCTGGGCACTCCAGCCAGGGCCTAACTCTTTAAAACTACGCCTTTGGTTTGTGTTGTGTGTGTTGTCTTTCCCCTTTTTGCCTTAAATGCAGGGACACATGGTGGGTCCTGCAGGGTGTTCTATTTCATCCAACCTAGATTCCAGTGGGGGCTTGAAAGCACAGGAAAGACAGGTCTCTCTGGAGCCCCTGGGCCTCATCGGCACTGGTCCCCCTCATGGTGGCCTATCTATTCAGGATGATCAACAGATGCCAAGGAGAGGGGCATGTCATCCCTCAGGACAATGAGACTTCTGCTTCTCAGGCCCTGCCCCTCGGAGCAGCATGCTATCACTCTCAATGAAGGACAAGGAGACACTTGCCTGCTCATGAACTCGGGCGAGCCCCAGTGCCTGAGCCCTGGGAACAATGCTGGATCCTCACCTCCTGCCTGCTTCTGGAGACTAGACTGAGGAGCAGGCAGGCTGTTGGGGAGATGAGGCCAACACAGCCAGAGGCATCGCAGGAAGTCCCTCAGGAACGCCACTACTCTGGCGTGGCATACTGTGTGTGCACTACAGCAAGGATCCATGTCCAAGGCCAAGACCTTAGGGTGCTCCGGCAGCTGCCCTCCTTGGTCTGGGGTGGGGAGGTTACCTGGCCCGGAGGAACCTGCGACGGGCCGGGCGCATTGGGATTCGCGTCACGGCGCGGGCCGCTCCTCGGAGGAATTAGACACGGCGCGGCATCCGAGGTGCAGCCCGGTTGCCCCCGTCGCCCTCCCTCCCCCGGCGGCTTTGTCTGGCGCGCTGCGCCCACCGCCCGGCGCCCCCGTGCGCAGCCAACAAAGCGGGCTACTGTCCCCGGGCCGTATGCAAATGCTCCAGGCGGCCAGCGTCCCGCCGCCGGCTTCCAGCCTGAAAGGGTCGGCCGGGCAGGGGGCGGCCGTGCTCCGGGAATAGAACACCATTGTCTGTGTCGTCCATGGCAAGGGGACCTGCACCGGCTTCGGGAGCTTCGGCTTTGGGGTCAGACCGAGTGGGCGCGCACTGTCCCCCAACTCCACGCAAACCTCTGCCGGCCGCCCACACCTCTGAGCCACCGTGGCTGGGGTTCAAACCAGCAGCCCTCGGTGCTCGGTGCTCACCCCACTTAACCCATCTCTGCCCTCCTGCGTTTTCTCACATCACATTGATCCAGGGCACAGAGCAAAGTACTCAAGGTATCCCCCAAACAGAGCAAATTACAAGGTGATATATACCCTTGTCTTCTGGGACAAGTGAGCAGCCCAGGGACTGCTCAGGCCTGCCTTCTTGCCAGCCACCACTTTAGCGGGCCATTTTTACTGGAGGAACGATCAGCTAAAGCAAATTTTTTTTTTTTTGTTTTTTGTTTGTTTGTTTTTTGAGACAGGGTTTCTCTGTGTAGCTTTGCTCCTTTCCTGGAACTCGCTTTGGAGACCAGGCTGGCCTCGAACTCACAGAGATCCGCCTGGCTCTGCCTCCCGAGTGCTGGGATTAAAGGTGTGCGCCACCACCGCCCGGCCAGCTAAAGCAAAATTTTAAGGATAAACTATCCAGTGATGCTGGAGGTGGGGGAAGGGAGTCTATGGCCCTCTAACCAAGTCAGTGGTTTGCTAGCAAGGATCAGCCAGAGTGTGCGCTGGGGGCACTGACCACCGGGGGGGGGGGGCGGGGGGGGGGGGGGGAGACGACAGACCGTGCACTGAGGGCACAGCCCTAACTCAGGACATAGACAGCCTCAAGATTCCCTGATGCAGGGCTGGAGTCCACCTTTTTAAAGCTCCCAGGTGAGAGCTCCCAGGTAAGGGGCACTTTGGAGAGTTCTAGTTTCCTGAAGCATTGATACCTCAGGACTGGTGAACAGTTTCAGGCAGAATTAATCAAAATAATCCCAAACGTGAAAAGTGTGCCTGGTGGGGTTTGGTGTTGCACGCCTTTGATCTCAGCACTCAGGAGGCAGAGGCAGGCGGATCTCTGTGAGTTCTGGGCCAGCCTGCTCTACAATAGCTCCATGACAACCAGGACTAAATAGAGACCATGTCTCCAAAAAACGAAAGCAAAGTGTGCCAGGTATGGTGGTGTATACCTGTAACCTCAGCACTTGAGAGGCTGAGGCTCGGCAGGAAACGCAAGGCTCCTCCGGACTACAAAGCCTGTTTCAGGACAGCCTGGGATATGAGATTCTATCAAATAAAGCAGAGAAGCATCTAGGATTTCTACAGCAGTGAGCAGGCAAGCTGCTGAGACTGAGGAGAGGCGGAGAAGGTGCTGCTGGTCTCCAAGGAAATCTTTGGGGTGGGGGGTTGAGCAGCCCCATTTTGGGACTCCGGTTGGTTCTTCCTGCCTTCACCTGTTTCTGATGGGGAGTTGGCCCGGGGGGGGGGGGGGGATCAGTGGTAGGAGCTGTGGCGTTTCCTGGTGCTAAGGAAGCAGGCGGAGTTCTGCACTCTTAGCTCCCTGGAAACCAGTCCTGTCCAGCTCTCTGATCCATCTCCAACATCTCTAAAGTTAGCCTCATAGAGGCTGCTTTGGGGCCCTCAGCAGCTGCCTCTGGAAGAGGCTCAAAAGCGCAGAGCACGCTGCCCCCCAGGGCCCTACCCCCGCAGGGTGCTTACAGATGCGCGGCTTGCTCGCACAGTCCCAGAAAGGCCAGGGTCGGTTTCTAAAGCCCCCTACCCTGCAGGCCCTCTCCCTTTGGCCTGCATCTCCAGGCTCTCTGGGCCTGCTTTTTAGTTCCTGGGCAGGGCCCGAGGAGGCCCCTCTTGGCTCTGAGGCTGCGGGGAAGCAGGCTTTGTTGTGCGGGCAGCCTCTGGATCCCGAAGCTTTACTTTCCCACCCAGCTCTTGGCAGCAGAGTCCTCAGCAGGAGAAGCCCCCACCCCCCACCCCGCCCCAGCACCCCTCCTTCCCTGGTCAGCACCATCCATCTCCGTCTCCCCAGAGCAAGGAATGTGCCTCGGGACACTGTGGGACTTGTTCCCAATCCCTTCTAGCTCATTTCACCCGGGCTTTTACAAACTGGCCTCCATCCCATGGCTACTGTCTGGGTTTTGGTTCTAAAGGAGCAGACAGAGGCCCCTCCTCCCCACAATTCCTCATGCTTCACTTTGCCCCAACACCACGGAGGAGGCTGCACCATGGAGGGTCAAGGAACCCCGGGGTGGGGGCAGGGTCCCCCAGACCCCAGCTTTACTGCTCAGACACCCAGCACTATGGTGATGTCTGACTATGTTAGGCCCAGGCTACAAGCCATTCATCCCTTCTCCTGGCCTTTCTGTTCACACCACTCCAAGCCCTGGGCTTCTGGTTGGCAGTTGCTAACCAGGACCACTAATCACGGGCCACAGTGATGCTGAACCAGGTCACTGTGAGTGCATCACCTATTACCTGCCCTTTGGCGTGTGCTGAGCTGCCCACCTGCATCTGGGGAACAGCTGCTCTCTCCCTAAGTGCCCAGGGCCTAGGCCTTGCTAGCTGCAATGTGGTAGGTACAGAGGCTTGGAAGGCATTTAGTGAGCTTTCCTTAGAAATGGGAGGGACAAGCTGCAGTTCCAGAAGCCCCCACAAACTGGATCCAGGGAGGCTAGTATGTGGATGCAAGATGGTCTCCTGCCAGGGTCTTTCTTCCTTATCGTAGCCAGGGGATCAGGATGCTGTATGTGGAGACTGGTCGGGGGAGCTTGGGTGTGTTCCCTAATGTACCCCACTTCTCTTGTAAATCTGTGTGCTCTCTAGTCTGGAGTCCTTGCTTGCTTGTTGGCTTCCCTGGGGGACACATGTTTGAATTTCAGCCATGTGTTTTCAGCCACTGGCCTGGGGAATCATCTCAGTAGGACAGTAAGATAGACTGTAACAGGACTTGGTGAACACACCTGACTGTGACAGTTACCTGACAGCCACCAAGTCCCCACCATGTGCCAGAGAGGTGTAGGGGGGAGACTCAGAAATGTTCTGTGGCCTTCTTTTCCAAGGGACTGTCCTTGTCTCTAAAATGGCCGAGGCCTGCCTGCTCTGTATGCCTCCTCACCCACATTTGCATATCCCCTTCACACTCACATGATGCGGCTTGAACTGCTGCACTGTGCCCTGCAAGACAGTGGCCATGACTCAGGCCAACAGACAGCGGCCCTTCCTGTGGAACCCTTCCCACCTCCAGCCTCTGGCTGTCTGGAAAAGGGTGGAGTCCTCTGGTTCAGTTTGCCTTGAGCAGTGGGGCGGAGAGACTGTGTGCCCTCAGCTGGAACCAGAGGGCATGGGAGAGGCCTGCTAGACAAGGCTGAGCCCTTGGGGGTCTTCTGGAGGAGTAGGGAGCACCTGCTCCCAGTGGGCCTGTCTGGGCTTCCCCGAGGGACCCCCTGGTCTCTGCAGCTCTCTGCTCCTCACTCCTGCTCCAAGGAGGTGCAGGACACTGCTTGCCGGGCTCTTCTAGCCACTGAACATGACTAGAGTGACTTGATTTCCTGCAGCTTTGATGGGAGGATCCACCAAGGGTTTCGGTCTCCCCCAACCCAGGGAAAAAGAAAGGGAGAAAAGTCCTGAAAATAAACTCCTGCAACAATCTTCAAGGAGAGACCTGTTAGAAGGCCTTTCTTTAATCCTTTAATCCCTCTCAGATGGGCCTTGAGACGCTAATGGCTTTCCTAATTATTCCCTCCTATTTTCCCATAGCGGTGAGGACCTCTCTCTGAGGACTTTGGAGCAGAGAAAAATTCTGAGTGAGGAGTGGGGAATGAATGGTGCTCCCCCACCAAATCGGCTCTCAGTCTCCAAGTGGCTGGAGAGGTGGGGGAAGGGCAGGAATGCCCCAGCTGGGGTGTCAGGCTTCCCATGGCTGACACCCGGGTACAAGGCGCAGTGGCGGGCTTGGGACAATGAGGCAGTTGGGGTCTGCCCGGGAGAGAGAGCCAGGTGTGGGACTGGGGTTCCCTCAATGTGAATGGCCCATTATTCCGCCAGAGCGTAGGAGTTGAGGGTCTTTTTGTGACCTCCCTCCCTGTAATAACCCTGGGAGGGAGGTCGTCTTGAGGAGAGTCTTTAGAGTCTCCTTAGAGAACAGGTGGCCATTCAGGCCTTTGGCCCTTCTTATCTCCAGCAGTCTAGGATTCCGTGGTTTCTTTTGTGGGGGGTGAGGGGCAGCAAATACGGCCAAGATCTGGGCTCAGGCCCCTCCCTCAGTGAAGCCTTCTTTGGAAGATAGACCATGTTCCCAGCTACCACCTTATCTTGGGCACCCAGGGGCCTTGTCTGACCTCTTCAGACCTATTTGCTTGGGGTCAGCCCTACCTGGGAGCAGCCACTGACCCTTGACTCTGGGGTCTTGCTCTGCCTTCATGCAACACTCCCCTATAAACTCCCCGTGGGATCCGCCGTCAACCCCATTTTCCATACCAAAAAATCCAGCCCTTAGGAGACTTGAGGAAGACCACACACCCAAGTCAGGCAAGGTGGAGGGCTGTGTGCTCCGGGGCCTCCAAACACAGGCAGGGCATTTACACTGCCTTTGCCCTGTCCCTTCACCCCAAACGCCCCTTTCCCAGATGACCCAACAGCTCCCTTTCTGCAATCATTTGGGCTTTGCTGCAGTCACACCTCCATGAAAGGACACAGAGCTGGGATGCGCTTGGGAGCAGCAGAGGGCGGAGGAAGACAAAGACAGCCAGGTGGCAGAGGTTGACACTAGCTAGTGGTTAAGTGAGTGCATGG